TGTCTACTAAAAAGAAAAAAAAGTGAATTTCACATTTTGTGAATTACACTTGCTTCTAAAACCTCTTCAAACTGTTAAGATGTAAAGTCTTAAAACAGCCAAACTGATCTTTTTTTTTTTTTTTGAAAATCTTTGAGTTTTCATACGTTCACCCTGATGGGTGAAATATAATTGAATCTCTAAAAAAAAGGAGGTAAACAACCACAGACTGCACACAGTAAAACCCACAGACTCCGGTCAACAATTTATCTTTTTCACCACGTATTTTTTGTTTTATCTCTCCCATACAAAACACAAAAAGCCATTTCTATGTTTTTTTTCTTAATCCATCTTAAAGCATTAATCTTCAACAAACATTTCTTCATCCACCTATTTCCCTCTTCATGGACAAGTTCTTCTAAATCATTTGTTCATTTATTGTCATGTAGGGCTCTTTACCTTTCAAATAAACAACTTCTTTGGTTTGTTTATCACAATAAGAAGAAAACCTATGAGGTTAGTTTTTTTTTAACCTGATACATTATGTTTTTACCTCTACCCACTTTCCCAAAAGGGAACCCCCAGCTCCTGCTGTTCTTTTCTTTATTCAAGTCCACATCCTTCCCACTCCTCCCTTTCTCCAAACCTCAGACCACACGGCTTTAATGGGAGGGTTAAGAGGTAATTCCTATCACACTACCATCATTTAATATCTAACCAAGGCTGACAGAGAGGAAGGTTACAAACCCAAACCAGAAAGCCACCATCAAACCTCCTTCTCCTCCTTTTTACTCTCCTGCTGTTGTTACCCTCCCTCTGACATTTTTGTCTTTCTCCACCATCATTATGAGTCTCCTCTGTAGTTTTTTTTTCTTTTCTTTTACATTGCTGCCTTTTCCTTGCTTTAAAAAATAAAAGGGAAGTGGAACAAAATAAGGGGAGTCAGAGGAAACTTCATACACTGTAATTTGGATTGTACTGATGACAAAGTAAAGACATAAAAACATGAGATTTATAATGTTGAGTTTGGAACACRTTCACCTTTTCCACTCTCAGGAGTCGTCCAAAAGATCCACGGGGATCCACATTAAACCGGGGGGATAAATAAGAACGATCGAGACCACTTTGGGGTTTTACGGAAAAGAAAGCTGGGACGGCGCTCAAATAAGATTGTCGCCTATGAAGAGCAACAGAGAAGAAATAACTGTGGAAGTACGGATAAATGTTTATGTGATGAAATATGTGCCTGTGTTGTCTCYTTGTGGGTCCCTCATGTTCAAATGGGAGGCTATTGACTGAGTGATCCTGCGAGCCTCCGTAAATAAATTTAATTTTCCGCCGTAACACTCCACTTTGGAGTCTTTTGCAATGCATCATACATCACCACAAATACATCACCACAAATATATGAAACACACAATCAGTCTGCCCAGAGAGGTTTCACAACGTCAACCCACCAAGATGATTTTATTTTTGTGTGGCTTTTCTGCCAACACGTCCCTCCGGGAGACTTTTACAAAAAGTATCAATCAAGTGCGTTTGTATGTATTAGCAAAGTCGTCACATATTGATGCTTTTCCAAGGTTCCCTCTGCATCCATTTTTGATGCGTCAGGTACCCCCCTCGTGTCAGTTATTGATGAGATGGGGCGGAATCCACTGTCTATTTCAGAAAGTGTAGAAAATGGACCAAAACTACCGTCCCAAAGCCTAAAATTACCTTTATTCATTCTAGACATGCTCTCCCTGACCCTAGTTCCTAAAATTAACCATGAACCCTGATCCCTAAAATTAACCATTTTTAGAAATCGTAGGAAATTCACGTGAACTACGTGTTCCAAAGTCTAAAATTGCCTAATATTCGCCCTGACCCCACTACCTAAAATTAACCATTAACCCTGATCCCTAATATTAACCAAGGACCACAATGCAAAGACCCCTATATTTTGCGTCCTAATGCATCCAACCTGGACACCAAGGGAACACGGAAATGCCTGGTGCGTCAAAAACTGACGCGACGGTTGTACCTGATGTGTCAAAATAAGACGCAGAGGGAACCTTGGAAAAGCGTGAATATGTGATGAGTCAGGAGTGAGAATGTTTTGTACAAAACATTGTTTCAAAATTTTTAATACACGTAGTGTTGTGTATTATTCACAGAACTACTGATGCTCAAAAGCAAACATTTAAACAAAATGGCAAGCTTGAACCTAATGAAAGTCATCATCAAGTGAAAAACCACTGCTGTAGCAAAAAATCAAGTAAACGTGGTTATTTTTTTATTTGATGTTTCACAGCAATGGATCTTGTATGTAGTTGGAAATTGCCAGAAATRTACTGATAACCTTACAAAATGTTCTAATTCAGGTAACGGAGCTGCACAGTAATTTAATTGCTTTACTAAAACTTCTCAGTCAGAATGGCTGTCTTGTTTTTGGTCTTATTCTTTGAGTCATTTCACCCTTAATGATTTTAAGAAAAYTTTTAAAAAAGAAGGATTTCTGCTCCAGTGTTTGTACCGACGGATTAAACCAGGGAAAAATGCGGCGATTAAATATCTGCTTCAYGAATGTCTTTCCCTTTTAACCAAAACTCAGTGAATAAACGTCCCTGAAGAACCCCACTCTGGGTAATACATTTTTGACTTTTTGATTTTTATCTTACTTGGCTGTCAATTTGTTGTGGACAAAAAAAACTCGAATTGTCCACAGAAACATCGTCAAGGTTTCAGCTGACAAGGCTTTGAGAAAGGGAACCGTATGTACTGAATTACTACGTCAAATAATTTTGAAGACTGACCGTCATCTTTAACTTTTCTTTGAACTCTGTAGGCGTGACTCGAGTCCCCGTTGGGTTCGGTTTTAATTGTTGCAAAGCGATGTGAACTCCAGCTGCCATTCTCTGTGAAGATTCCAGTTACACACTTTTCAGAGCTACTTCTCACAGACCGATTCGTTAAAGCTTTTCAGCAGAATATTTGTTTCATTTCGTTTGGCATTGTGTCACCCTTCTCTTTCAAATGAATTAAGACAACAGGAGAATATGCGTTTTAACAAAATAGGGTTACGATATCTTGCGTGGTAGTCTGCTTCATGGAAACACTGTAGAGTTTAATGTATTTGCATTGGTAATACCATCTCCACACTCATACTACACAAACAAACACACAACTGTCACACATGTGCACACACACACGTGATATATAACCACATGAATGCTTGGAATAATCACTGCAGCACAATCAGGAGCAAACGTCCACCAACAAACACAACTTAACTAAGTAGTTTTACTTGAAGGCAGTCCAAAATAAGCAACTATTAAATTAAGAGGTGTTCCAACCTTCAACCTAATCTGACAGAAACTCCCAGAGGAAAAGACAGCCTGAGTGGGGGGAAAAAAAGAGAGAGTTGAGCAAATGAAACGAGACAGAGTGGATGCACAGAAGTCAGCGAGAAAGATGAGGACGAGAATATCTGGGAATGTGAGATGAAAAGGAGAAGAAGGGCAAGCAGGAGTCTTCAATGCATCAGCTTGACCTGCTCCTATTCCCCGAACGCTCCAGGAAAACAACATTATCCCCGAATAAAATATCCCACATCAGTCCAAACACAACATTCACTCCAGGCACACGTTCACCCCTTCGAACCGTGCACACTACATCCGACACTCGGTCTTTCTCGCCTCCTGACAGGAGAACAGAGCAGCGACTGTGTCACCTGGCACAGGACCTGAACCCTCAACCTGGGTAAACGTTCTGACACCGAGCCGCGGCTGCGTTTTCAAAAAGGATTGTGTAGCACATCAAAAGAGACAGAGAATAAGCCAAAACGATCATCTGGAGAACGCCAGAAAGCGCGTAGATAAAGAGGTGGGGGGAAAGGAAAAGTGTACTTACACTCGGCCCAGTTTGGGGTTGGACTGGAAGAGGAGCTCGGGKAGAACTTGGAGTTTGTTTCTGTTCAGACGACTAAATGGAGATAAAAACAAAACATCATGAACAAAAACGGGCCAAACCGACTGAATCACAGCAACTCATGAGTTTGTGTTGTCTGAACAAGCATCACCACAGTCAGTTGAATCAYCTAAAAGGTCAGTAGGTTAAAACTAAAGAGAAAATCTTTGGYTTCCTGTGATTTTGACCCACAGGTTATCACACTGCATTTTGTATATAGCTGTCAGTTACAGGGTTATCAGAGTCAGAGCACTCTAAAGCCAGTGTTCAACTCAATCTTCACAAAAGCTTTGACCCTATCAAGGGAGGGCAATCGTTTGTGCTACTTTTCTTTTATTTTCAGTAATTTAATTAAATAACAAATAACCGAATCCCTTCAGATTAGTACAAAAGGCCAAATGTATTAAATCATAAATAACTGATGAGTTTCTCTTGTTGCCCTATTTTATTCCTGATATGACAGAAATGTATAAAATGCAAAAGCTTTGCCAAATTTTTCACACTCAGTTCACATTTCTCCTTTATGAACCTGATAACCGTTTCCAATCTGTATTAAAATATTAATTATGTCCAAAGGGTACACAAACAGAAAACTGAACACTGTACAAAATGGAAAGAAAGAAAACTGYGATAGCTTTTTGAATTTATAACAAACAAAAAAAGGGGATGAATTCCAAAACCGTTTCAATAAAGATATTCATCTAGAAATGCTGTTTCATCCGGGTGTAAACTGGAAATTAAATTAGAATTTCTCTAAAAGTATTGATCTTATTTTTGAAGGTAATGGCCCTTAGTTTTAAAAGCCAGTATTTGTAATGTTTGCTCCAGCCTGGTGAGTAAGGATTTAGTAACTTGCACATCTGCAAAGGTTCACTTAASGTTTAATGTTACCTGGTTGTGGGGCAGTGTGTGCAGCCATCCAGATGGGAAAACTCTAATTTCAGCATGTATGCACCCATCTAAATTAAACTTCATTTGGCAAAAAAGTCACCATTTAATACATTATATCTCAGAAAATAGATTATAATCTGATTAAACCTTCACTGTAAAATGTGTTGATGCTTGAATGGAAATAAGTTTGCAAAACTAAGCGTCTGAGCAGAAATGAATGTAAAGTGTTTGGGTCAACGCTGTATCCTTAATGTTTACACGTGTGCAGAAGAAAGGTGATGTTGGCCGTCGATGAGAAGGAGGAGGACAGTCAGCAGAGGGAGTGAACACGTTATCAGGCTGCCAAAGCATTTGGCTGAGAAATGAGGCGTGGATGGGAAAGGAGGAGGAGGGGTGGAGGGTCACAGAGTAGAATTTGTGCTGGAGAAGACACAGACGCAACCCTTTGACCTTTGTGGCGGTGAAAAAAAAAGGGACCCTGACTTTCACTTCTATAAAAAAAAGAAAAATGAAGTCCAAAAAAATGAGATAGTCTACGTTTAAAACGATGATGTCTGTTTCAACCTAACTCCCGGCATGCAAATAAATAGCACAACCAAACCATTCTGAGTCATTTCGTGACGTTCAATCACAGCAGGTTTTAGGATACAAATTGTGTGGGAGGTTTTAAGTTRCAATGATGGCTTTGAACCCTGAACCTTTGAAGGTACACAACATCTCAACTTTATGGGTACTTTATTCCTATCTCAGAATCAAACGTGTCCTGAAAAAATACGTTTGGATACGAAACAAAAAGCAAGTTACTGGGGCTAGATTTGCTTTATTTTGAAGGGCAAAAATAAAAACATATAATTAGAATTATTTTCTGTGCAAAACCAAAGTGCTCTGACCACATCCATGACTTCTGTTTTGTCAAAATATTCTCATCTTGTGGGGTGACTGGTTAAGCTGCATGGTTTTCCCATTGTGACTCCATTAATCAATGACTCAGCACCAGACCTCTCACCTCTAACCTTTCACCGGCCATACAAAACATTAGAAAAAAACAAACAAACTGGTTTTAGTAATACATTCAAACTGCACAAAAAAGATGAGTAGAAGTTTGACATTTTTTTTAGAAACATTTCAAAATAAAATAGTGTCAGATTTTTAGAACTCCTAAAAGATGATTAAAAAGGTCTTTTGGATTCTGTAAAATTCACATCATAATGATGGATTTATGTTTATGCAAATAGTACCAATAATTTAATTTGCTTTATGGGAGGAGAGATGCTTCTCTTCTCTCGCTTGGTTAGAAAAGGTTTGTTTTTTTTTTGTTTAAAGGTTTGTTTTTTTTTTGTTTTATGTTTAATTCCCTCTGTTAATATAACTTGTCAAAAATAGCTCACGAAATACAGTAAAAGTGAAATGACCCATCAAATACCCCATGAACAGCCTACCACAATGCTGTGTCGCACACCACAATGAATGTTTCATTCTGTTTTAACCTAAGAACCCTTAAAATGTATTTTCTTTGTTTTTCCAGGAAAACAATCCAATATAATGTGTAGGTTGGAAACGATCTGCTTTCTGTTGGAGTTACGGTATCTGTCRCAACTCTGACCAAATATTTTCAGTGACGTCTGATCAGGTTTGCACTGAAGCTAGGAGAAGTTAAATACACACAGATCTAAAACATGCAGGCCACTTTTTGTTTTAGATGTTTCCCTGCTACTCAGCAGCTCTTCAAGGTTTGTAGAAGCCTGTTAATCAATCATTAATTCAAATTAGGTGTGTCAAAAAGAAGAAACAGGACCACACAGGTTTAACTGAATAGTTTCTATACATCTTTTGTTTACCCATGTGTGTGCTGAAGATTAATTCACATAATAAATGGTGCWTCTTTTTATTTCCTTAAGGCCCTGTCACACTAGACAACTTATCCCAAGTTATGAAACATTTGTATGTCTAAATTGCTAATAAAAGTTATATGTTTGATCAATTTGTTCAAATTATTTTATGTACATGCCAAAAAAGCTTCCTGTTCATTTTTTTCAGTTCCATTTTCAATGTAGATGTCTTTAAAATGTTCATAAGATGGCATAAGTTGTGTGACAGGGTCTTAAATTGTAGCATAATTTAGAATTGTTCCATCATTGTTCAACTGCCCTGATTTTAATGCAATCTTTTAAGAACCTCTTGAACATATAAAAATCATAAAACATCATCATCAAAGTTTAGGTGCAAACATATTTTGCACCTAAACTTTATTCACCTCTCATCCTAAACCTCTAACCCCACCTGACGCACTGTTTTTCAAACAGCTGCTTAGCATTAAAACGGCACATTTCCTCACATTCCTGCTATCAGGTGCGTGATCTGGATTTAAAGACAAGATGCATGTGCTGCTGTCACTCAGCTTCTCTGTTTCCATGTTGAACAAACTGCGTTATCTTTATAGACTGTATACGTGTAACACCACCCGTCTGACATGTGGACTTGATTTTCAGGCAGGTCTTACATGTTTCTTGAAGAATACAAAGAAAATGCAAGTTGAATGAAAATATTCTTTAAATAAAATAGACAGAACTTGTCCTGTTTAAAGGGATCCCCGGTTAGTCGTAACATTAGACTTTATTTAATTAACGTATATTTTAATTGTAAAATAAAGACTGTAAAAATACTGTAGAATGTTCAGTTTTATCATTTTTAAACTAAAAGTTTAAAAACATATTACATGGATGGGGCCATTTTATTTACACACAAAGCATTCTGGGTAAATGATGACGTGGATAGGTCCTTGGTGCGAGGCTGCTAGT